AACTTTTATGTTGGAAAGTGTTGAAAGTACTCAGATACTAAAGCTTAGATTTGTGTTTTGTTTGGCAGTACACTTCTGTTTAGAATTCTTTTAATCTATCCATTCCCTGCTTTTATATTCATCTGATAGTTGAAGGTTCTGTGAAGGATGTTTCTTTGTGTATGAACTTATTAAACCAATAATGCTCAAAAGTGCAAGATTTACTTCCCTTTTTCCTTTTTTTTACATCACAAGATAGGCTCTTGTTTGAGTTGTTAAATTTCTATTTGCCTTTCTTGATTTTTATTTTTTTGGGGGGGGGGGTTGAGGGGGGGGGGAGGGCAGAGAAAATAAGAAACAATTTATATGGTAGATCTAAAGTTTCATTAAAATTGCTTATGCCCTGTCCCAGGCATTTTAAGTGGGCCATCTGTCTAAACATCTCTGCATTTTTTTCTGATCATTTCCTCGACTTATTCATGAGCCATGGGAGGGCTCCTTTGTAGTCTCCATGTAGCTGGTTCAGTCTACCCCCACTGAATACATCTATGTGCTTGCATAACATATCTTTTCACAGTGCTGGAAAATCTCTGAACTTGGTTCAGATGAATGGCCCACTTTCTGAAGGTCTTTTTTTCTCCCCCTGCAAGATTTGTATGCAGAAACTGACCTTGGTGGCTACAGAATCCAGCACATTATTCTTGATCATTTTACAGGCCACCTGCTGTGAAAGTTATGATGAAGGATTTCTTAATGATTCTTTGACCATTAACATTGTTTTAAGTCAATATTTCACTTTTATTTAACTGCTGAATAGGTAATTGCACAATTGAAAAACAGCTTTATGGAGTGTCATATAATGTGGTTTTCAAACACTTATAATCTTTCATAACAGGAGGATTGGTTATGATAGTTTGGGATTTCTCTGTTTACGTAAAGTATTATGCAGCAAAAATGTAAAGAGATTTTGTAAGCTTTTTTCCCCTCAAAATTAGAACACATTTTGAATAGGAAGTAAAAAAAAAAATCTATATGCAATTTTCTGACCCTTTAGGAACTGGTGACATTTATCATAGCTCATTACATCATCATCAGTCATCAGGAGAGAGGAGTTTATTTGCCACAAACTGCAGAAAATTGTAGTTTTTATTCAGTTCTTTCTGTCCGATTGGTTGGTGAAAATCAAAATGGCCAGGGCAGAGTTATTACTTGATTTGCTTTTGTGAATGTCTGTTTTCTTTTATTACTTGTTTTTGACCAGAATAGATAATAATTTAACTAGTGTCTGTTGTCCATGAGCACAATAAGTGTGCTGATGTAAAGGTTTTAGCAGTTGTCTACTTTTCTCACTGAAAACTTGCAAAGAAAGCAGGAGCTATGATTATTAGAAAGTATCTCCCTCTCTCACACATGGCAGTTGGGGGTAAAAGGAACATCATACACTGTGCAATGTATGAAAAAATTATGGGACCATGACATCATCTCTAGTTGAACAAACAGCAATAGGGGTTGAAAATAAATACCAAGCAGACAAACAGTGCTATTTGTCTTTGTGCATCATGTACACGTTTTTGCAGCTTCAGTGCTTTGGGGTAAAGACTTCATGACGTAGGGCTAGGCCATCACCATACTCTTCATCTGTGCTCCTGTTGCTTTTGATCCTTCCCTTTAGAAGGCAATTTGGAGTAGAGAGGTTCAGAACTGCGCATTTTTGTACAGAAGAAGTTTTTAATACCCTTCTCCATCCACCTCCCAGTGTTGTGGCCTCAGTGCTGCTTTTGCTTTCTCTGTCTCTGTGTGTGTAATGGTCCTGGCAAGGGACAGCTGCACACAGTTCTCCATGGCCCTGCTTCTCCTTCACCTGGCACTCATCTTGCTGCAAAACTTGTGTTTCTTCCTGCAGCTGGTGATCTTTATATGTAAATAAAGTAATTTTTGGGATGGTATGTCATTTGCCAAAACTGGGAGAAAAAAGGGAGGGTGTGTTGAACCCCATGAAAGAAAGGTATACTATGTGGATTCTGAATCTAGGGTTGTATCTTTTATGATGGCAAAAATTACATGATTATTATTTTCAGTGTTTTGTTTTGTGTTTGGGTTTGTTGTTTTTTCTGTAAATAGGATATGTCAGATTTCAGCCAAATGTCTAGAATTTTAAAAGTTCTACTATTTTGAAAATAGGCATAAGTTCGGGAACTTTTCTGTGTAGTGTGAAATATATTCAGAGTTCATATGTTTTCCCTTTGGATGACTTAGAAGAGTTCTCAGTGGCCAAAATGAAAGAGAATTTCCTGTGCACTAGGACTTGTCAGACATTAGGAAAAAAACCCCACCACACACCAACAAAAAACCCAGCCAGGAAGCCCTGATAGAAACTTCTGCATTTATAAGGTAGTTCATGGCAACTTCCTTTTCAGATCCAAGAAGCTTAGACTTTGATCCTTACTTGTATGAACCTCTCCTCCAAATCCCATCAAAATGGAGTCTACTACAAGATAATTTCTTTGAAAGGAGTTTGATTTAATGAAGAAAAAGTGGGATTGTCATGAGCTAATGTAAGTATCTGTCTCAGTCAGTGTGAGTTACAGTTACAAAGCCACAGGCACTTGATTAGCAAAGCTGAAAAATATCCCTGTGCAAATGGATTTAGCAATTCCAGGAGGGAAGTACAGCTTGCTGCTTACTGCATGTTAGATGCAGCTCTGGACCTTGCCCTCCTGACCACTGGTGTTGCAGAGAGAGGAATTATGTGGCTGTTTGAAACCCAGGCAAGGCAGTGATCACAGCCATGCCTTTCAAGAGGCATGCATCCTGTTTGGAGATACACTTGACAAAGCTCAGCAAGACAGGACCGAACAAAAATAATCCCTGCTGGAGAACAAGACTGTCTTTCCTTTGATGGCCAGCAGCCAGATTCATGAGGTCACTTCCAGCCAAATGCAATGTGTAGCAGGGCCATGCCAGCAAGACTATAAGGAATCTCCTGCCACCGGTGAAGTGGATCTGCTAAGCTGGGGTCTGAGATGAGGTCGTACCTCTTACAGCAACTTCATGTTTCTTGTATAAACCACTAAATCCTGTTGGTTGTTGCAGTGGAGTGCTGTGGAGAATTTAACCAGGTGCTGCCAAAACTCTGCTGCATTCCTCCATACTGGTGCTCTGATACCAGGAAGGGCAATGAAAACATCTCTCAGCTTGCTGCCTGCTACCTGTGCAGGAAATTCCTCTTCCTCTTCTTCAGGAACTCCTGTGTCTGTCATGTTTCCTACCAGCCAGTCTAAATGTTTTGGTGACATACAGGAATTTCAGTGTGAGATGCTGAGAAAAGACATTGTACCCAATAAACCTTAGATAAGTGCTCAGATACGTTATTTTGACAATTGCCAGTATATTAAATATGAAAGGTCATACTTGGCATCATTAGTATGGAACAGGTTGTTTTCAATATCTGGTTTTGTGAACTTTTTGGGTAGTGATAGAGGTGAGCTGAAGTGTTTGTTGAAATCTGGTGTAGGCCTTACTTGGCTTGGATTCAGGAGTAGTAACTAAGGATAAGTATACATCTATTTGTGTCTGACATATTTAGTGTTTCTATTTCCCCTTTTCAGACATATTACAATGCGCAATATTTAAAAACTCTTTGCTTAATTAGTTACTTGAACTTGTACTTGCTTAGGTTTCAGGTGTCTAAAACCCCAGCCTTCTCAAAGTATTTGTTGAAATCCTCAACAAGTCAGTGTGTTATCCTTGGCTTCAGCAGATAATTTCTCCTCCTGTGGCCTCTGGAGGCCTCACAGGTGCTTCTCCCTGTTGATTCCACAGGGAACTTGAGCACTCTCTTTGGGGAGCTGTGGTTTGCTGGGCAGCTGAATCCTCAAGGATGCATGTGGCATAACAGAAAGATGTGCTTCCAAAATGTTTGAGACTGAAGGCTGCAGTAATATGGTGTAGTAAGCTCTGTAATGTACAATAGATGAACATTATAGCAGAAATGATCCTTAGAAGAGACCTAAAGGTGATGAACTTATTATCCCCATGGATTTATTATAGAAAGTCTAAACTTGTCTAAGAGTCAGTGTGGAAGAAAAGTTATACCAGAATAATGTGGCTTTGTCTTAATGAATTTAAAACTCCACCTTCCTATCTTCTCTTTAGGCTACATGGTGCTTGCTGATGGTAATTTGTGGTGACCACTTACCAGAAAAGTTGTAGCATACCTTTGGACACCAGTTGTTACAGGAAAGTGGAAGAGACTTGAGAAGTCAGGATGAGGAAACTGAAAATGAATATACATTTTTTAAAAATAGCTGAAAATTACTTGTTTCAATCTGAATTTCCAAGATGGGAGGCTCAGGTCTCATTCCTTTGCTGTCAGGTGTGTGCTTCTTTAAGCTAAAGTTGAAAAGACTCAGGTTTCTTGTGTTACTTGATAGCTGGTGCAGCCACAGAATGCTGCATTCATGTGGACTGTGATGAAGTATTATTATGTTTTCAGTATGCTTGAAGGGCTCTGTGGATGAGATACTTTAAAATGTATATTAATTATAAAATGACTTGTATTCCTCGTCTGCTGAATCTTGTCTGTAATTGTCTTTTAATTAAGGTTTACTGAGAATGAAATGAAAGAAAAAGTGGTTATATTTTGCCCTGAAAAAGACTGCTCCAGCTATCACTGTTGCTATTTTCCTGCCAACCCACTTTCACATCTGCTTTTCATCCTGTTTGAGCTAATTCTGCAGCAAGTGCTGTCTGTGTTCAAGGCCCTCCTATAACTTTATCAGCATACCCAGTGTGTCAAGGCAAATCTAGAAAGAAAGTGAGTGTATTTTCTCCTTATATGCTGTTTGACAGAAATATGTATTTAGTATATATTTTTTTCAAGTATGCTCTCCAACTGCATCTATAGATTAAGGGTATTTTGTATCCTTCATGACCATCTTATGAGGCACGTGCTTCTGGATAAAATGGGAGAAGCATGAAATCTCTGTTAAAAATTCTTCTTCTGTTTGTTTCTTTTTTAGAATTCCTATTGCTAAATCAAAGAGGAGTAGCTGGGAGCTCTCCATCCGGCTAGGAGATGGAATTTACCCGGTTGCTGTTTCAAAGGATGGCTCATCATTTTCTGTAAGTTCTGCTCGTTTTCTAAGAAATTTGGTGCATTGAGTCAATGTATATTATCCTTGACACTTACTGAAATTCTCTTCCTTTTGGAGCCTAAGCATTGGTATGTCTTTAGGAGGCATTGCTGTGAATTACAAAACGAGATTCTGTTAGTAAAATAGTGCTAGTGTACTAAGGTTTTTGCATCTACTTGTTTATTAAATTACTTTACTAAATAACAGTCCTATTTAGTGCCTTGTGTAGAAGTAACATCTTAGGTTCCATTGTAGATATATGAGAACAAGAAAATAAGTGCAGTGTCAACAGAAATTGCATTAGCTTAAGCCAGTGGTTAAAAAAGCAAATCAAAAAACCCAAGCGAGTTGAATAAGAAATCATACCAGAATGGCATTATTCAGCACCTCAGTGGTAGGACTGTATGTGTCAAATGCTAGAGTTTTGAGAAGTGCTTAGTCACTTAAGATGAATGTGTATAAACTATTGTTTTTACAAATATTCAAAGATAATTACTGAAGCACTTAATGTTGTCAGCAGAAACACAGACCATGACAGTAGAAGAAGAGTAATGCTGTGTTCAGTAGTTCAGCTGTTCAGCAGAATAAAGCCAGGACACAAGCTGGTTGACTTATGGCACCTAGTGCCATGGTCTAGTAACAACGGTAGGGTTGGACTTGGAGATCTTTGAGGTCTCTTCCAACCTGGTTGATTCTATGATTCTGTGATTCTATGAAGTATCGAGAAGGTTGATTTATTGAGAACTACTCTCTGTCTGTTAATGGTGATTCCAGAACCAAAATGAGGTATCTTTTTTTTTTTTAAGTAAGCAGTCGACTTGTGTAGTATCTGTTGATTCTTAGGCGAAAGATTTTAAAAGGGCCTAAAGAAGTCAGTTTTTCTTAGAATCACTGATAAGCAGGACTCTGAGGAATCCCAGAAATCTTCTAGTTAAATTCTGGTAGCTGTTTACTCTTCTTGCATGTGTCCAGTGAAGAAACTTCTGCAACATCTGCTCCATGACATGTTTTATAGTCATGATGTTCACACCTGTGTTGCATTCAGAATAAAGAGATTTCTTTGGAGAAAAGGTGTTTAAATTAATATTTTGTTTAACGATTACAGTGTTGTCTGTGATTCACTTTTGCTTTGCTCTAGTGAGATTTCAGTGTAGAAGATAATTTTCAGTTGAAACTGGTCATCTTTTTAAGTGGTTATTTTCACGTATGTGAGGTAATGTTTGCTTAGCTTTTTTAAAAATTTTTTTTGTTTGTTGGCCTAAGTGAGACAAGATGATGTCTAACAAATCTCCTTTTTCATACTACCTGTATGTCCATCACACTGTTTTTTACATACTGATGGTGAGTGTGCAAGTATGAATAGAGAGCAGGGATACTTTCTGTTCCACATGGAACATCTCATGGGTGCACTGTAAAAGGATATGGAGAGAATCAGTTGTTGTGGTCAGAACCTTTTAACATTTCCTCTTGCAAGTGTACTACTGAGTGTGAAAGAAGGTGCTCATTTTAGTTGTAGTGTTGCTTTTGGAAAGAATTCCAGGAGGTTTCTACCTACTGTTTACTCAGTACCTACTCTGTAATGTTGTTCCATGGCAGTGATACTCACCCTACTTGTGGAATGGTGCTTCAAAAGCAAAGGCCATGTCTGCATGCAGCTTTTTCCTGAATTAAATTTATATGATGCTCCTAACAAGCATCCTGTGAACTTCTGGATATAAACCATTCAAACAGCTAAACACCTCTGCCAGATTTCAGCCCAGTTTAGAGTCAAACTGGCCCTGGTTTGTGTGACAGAGATAGCCCTTGCCAGAAATAGTCTTTGCCCTCAGCCTTTGCACCTTTTTGTTGCAGCATCATTATCTAACAATGATACAGGGTGGCTGTTGGTGGCTGGGAGTGTTGCATAGGCCCTTGCTGCTGTGAGCTCTGAAATCTATTTCCCAGAGCTAGACCTCCCCTAACTGGGAGCTTTGTTTAGCACAACTTACTAGACAATCATACATCTGTGTGCATACGTGCACATGTAATTTTTGAGAGATTTACTTGTGTTTTATTTAGTTACCTATGCTCTCGCTTATACTTGCTTACATAATTCAATGGGTACATCCTTCAATTGGACTGAGGAAAGTTTACAGAGGAGGCCTAAGCATCCTTGTATGCTTTTGCCTCTATTGATTGTGCAGGTAACAACACACAAGCTTCTACATGAGTCAGTCCTAGATTCCACTTGCAGCTGAGTTGTAAACTGAGTTTCTCCAGGAGGTATGAACTCTGAGAAAGGTGCTGAGCATGTAATGCCATTGCTGCTGCCTTATCATTTTAGCACAGAGAAAAATCATTCTGGTCTATACCACAGCCCAAACCTGCCTCTCAGTTTGAAGGGACCTGCTAAACAGTTGTGATGTCTTGCAGCAGTATGAGAATTGCAGCCAATATAAACCCAGTTTAGCAAGGTATAGATGGAGTCTGAGTTCTGATCCTTTGGTTTGTTATTCGAACAATAACAAATGTGAAAATTCTTCTCATGTCTATGCATCCCTGCAGTATGTTACTGCTGTTACCTTCTGCTAGCAAGGGGGAAGGAGCACCCCTGGGAGCTGAGCAGCCCTCAGTGTCACAGGTGAAGGGGTGCATAAGTAATAGGAAGAAAATAAGGGTGCCAGGTAGGATAGGCTGTGTGCCCAAGAGCTTGGGCCAGAGGAGGTTGCTACAGCAGGTTTTGCATTTTAATTCTGCCCTAACCAAGCCTGTATACTTGGGGAGAGAGAATTCTATATTTATTTGCATCTATGAAATTCCTTAGCTGGTGAAATAAGTTACAGGAGGTGGATTTCATTGTAATAAAAAGTCAGTCTCACTTAAACCTCAAGATACTAAAAGTTGCTTCAGAGCTTAGGTTTGCAAGAAACAGGTATCCATTTTTGAATACCAGGTGTGTTCGGAGTCACACTTATTTTCACTGTTACTGGATAAATAGCAGAGGACATGTTATTCTTTGTTAATAATTTTGCTGGTGTTCTCCTGTGATTGTGCTGCAGACAAGAGAATATAGTAAATACAGCACCATCAAAAATCTGAATTATTATTGAAAACTTTATAATGGAAAAACAACTGCCTTAAAACTTCAAAGAAGAAAAGTCAAGACTAGGAATGAGAAATCTTGTTTCTGATCAGGAGGTATAACATACCATCGGGGAAAAAAAGGGGAAATTCAAAGCCTGCTTTATTAACTTTGCTGTCAGAAACACAAGCCTCACTTTTTGAACTTCTGCATTTACTTTTTGCTATTAAGTTGGTGTGACATGGGCTCCTGCCTTTGTGGGTTGTGTCCCCTTGTGGCTTGTGACAAAGATAGCTGGCTCTGTGGTGCAGTTGGGTAGCCCAGTGGGAGGGCCACCTTCACGGTCCCTTCAGAAGTTTATTCCGGCTGCAAACTGTGCTTTGCAGCAGCAGCAGTCGCATCCTGATTTGCTTTGTTTACCACAGGGACTCTTCCAACAGTGACTCCTTTCTTTTTTTCTCTAACTCTTCCACTCTCACGGCTGAAACCTCAGCACCTCACAGTGTGCAGCGCTTGGCACTCTGTGCAGGGAGTGAGCAGCAGGCTGCTCCTGGATCCTGCTGCTCTGAGCACATCATTCCTAAGCATTTCTGTGGGTCAGCCGTGCTTTTCCTCATTTACCAGGAAATTCTTAATGAATTGTGGCGTGTTAACTGCTCTTTGCTGCTCTTTATTTTTCAGAATTTTGAGTTTTGGAACCATCTGTTTTGAACTGCTTTATTTGCAGCAGAGGTCCTTGATAGGGGCTGGCTTTAGGCCACTTGAGCAGCCTTGCGTCCCCCAGCTGAAGGACTTCAAAGATAAGTGGTCAAGTGTGAGCGAAACTGTTGGCCTGAAGCAGTGCAAACAAAAATAATAATTTCTGTGATTCCAGTAGAGGTTAAAAACTTTAGTGAAGCCTAATCTTTTATTTTTTCTTTTAAAATAGAAGCAGCTCTGGTTTTATTCTGTAGCCAGCAACATATATGCTAATACTTAAGTTTGTATAAAATTGCTGTACTAGAATTTTCAGTCTCAAACAATTGTTTCTGGTGATAGCCTATCAACTTTTGCAGTTAAAAGATTCTAATGACTTGGGAATTTAAATTTATCAACTTTGGTGCGACCTTCTTGCTTGTGTACAAAGAACTTGCCAACTAAATGAGTGTAAATGTCATTCTTCCCCCCCCCTTTGTTCTATATATTAATTGCTAAAAGAATCTTTAAGCTAACTGCTTGTCACTTAGCTCTTTGGTGGACAGATGGTCAGATTCTGGGCTTTGATTAATGTTCTTATGTTTAAAATGTTTCCTCTCATCAATTGAATTAAAGATCTTACAATCAAGATTACTGCTAAAATAGAATTTGAAGGAAGAATACCCTCCTTTTCATGAGGCTAATGCACAAACAGCCCAGAAGCATCCCTCCACCAAACTCTGGAATATTTTGTTTAGTTCAGTTATGTACAGGATTGTTTTCCATCTGGCCATTTTCAATTGCCTGTCTGGTTATCAAGTGTGTTTATTTTACAATTTCATTGATACAAAAACTTGATTGAGTTTTGCTGATGAAACTTGGAGTCTGTTCTGGCTTTACAAAGCTTGAGTGCTCTGCAGAGTACCAAGAGTGGTACCTATATATATTGAGCAAACTGGGTAGCTGTGTGGTTTCCTGGCAGCACATTAAATTGACCCTTCAAAGTCACATATCAACCAGCAATTATGGTTTGGTTTCATGTGATGATGGCATTGTTGCTTATTCATAGAGTGGTTTGGGTTGGAAGGGTCCCTAAAGATTGTTTAGTTCCAACTGTCCTCCTAGCCTAACTTTAGTTTGGTGAGGAATATGTAGGTGTATTCTATGCAATAAACTTAATTCTTAAAAACTTTTTTGCTGTAATCGATGTTCTGGTTACTTGCTACAGTATAGGAATCCTCTGTCTTGAGAAT